ACATCTGAAGCAACAACTTTCAGGTTTATGTAAATGACTGCCAAGGAAGTCCAACATGTCAATCATTCAGATGTAGAAAAATCATGTTGTAATGCTCGCCATTAAATTCTAAGAATATTACTTGTTTGCACATAATTTAGTGGGCAACTACTGGGGTGTTAGCTGTACACTTGGCAAGATTGGCAAATATTTTGTTACTGATATTTATTACTTTGGTTATGTGTCTGCAAGTTGACATGTCAGAGTCTCTTTCTTTTTATCCTCCTGAAAAGACAAGAGTTTGTGTTGGTCTATGCCTAAAGATTGAGGTCTCGGTTATTCTCTAATTGAATGTGAACTTGGGCCCAGAACATGTGAGATCTAGAGACCAGAGGGTTTCACCCTATCTTCCCCCCCAAGCTTATTTTCCTGTCATTGTTCAATCTTTGTGGAAAGGTAAGCACTGGTAGAGTAGACTGTCTAAGTCATGACACTTGTCCTAGATGGATTCTGTTTGGACCTTGAGACAACAATGATGTACTAATCAATGTAATGTGCTGATGTCCTCCCTCTGAAAAATAGTTTATCAGCACATCAGCCTCTGTAAGCCATTTTTGGGTGGGTGAAAGTTTATACTGTCCCTCACAAGTACAACACAATCCCCTGGTAAACATCATAGGATGTCAAGTATGCATATGACTTTTCCTGTTTTAAATCTTATTTCCTGTTTTTTTTTTCTCAGTTTTGCCAGTCTTGATTATATGTTTCTATTTTTTTATTATTTAGTTCTGTAAATGGCTGTTACTTTAATGGCTCACACATAACTCCATAATAACCAATCAGCTTCTCTTTTTCATTTTCAAAGCTAGACTGAACACACGGAAGAGAGAAGCTAATTGGTTACTATGGGGCAACTGTTCCAGATTCTATCTGCCCCAGCTTTGATAAATTCATTGTATTTGCATTGATTAGGTAATCTAATTAGAACTGACTTAAGGGATTTCTTTTTTCGTTTTGTTTCCAAAGTGAGCTTGACATTCACAGTGAGATCTCCCACTTAAGCTGTGACCACACTTTTCCTATTGACTTAATCTTCCATTAATCACACTTGAGCAGGATTTTCTGCAGCTTTTCCCTAGTCACTACTTATAGTGCACTTGTGAGGATAAAAATAAGGCAGCTGCCACCTCTGAATTGCTTTTGTAGAGGAACTTTACCCTTATCTTTAACAATTCCAACAAAGGCACCATCTACAAACAGAAACTTCTAGATAATTGCAGGCTTTTTATTCTTTGCATACCTTATTTTTCATTTCCTCCTGATTCTTTTCACTGTGGACATTTTTACTAAGGGCAGATGAATCCATCTCCCTTTACTTCCTGGAACTCTGGCACATGTGACTGGACATGTGACCATGCACATCATCTCAGGGGGAAAAAACGCCTTTCCCTGAGCTCTTGTGAGTTCACAGATGAGATTTCCCAGCAATGCGCTGCTGATGAAACCTTCCCAAGATGCATTTCTTAGGCACAGCTATATCACTACTGCCTAAGAGGACCAGTAAGTGGAAAAACAATAATTGTAAGTAAAAGAAATATATGCTTATTCAACTAATGAATGAAAGATGGGGAAAAAAATTATGTGTAAAAAAAATAAAAAATAAAATAGCTAGGTCGGAGTCTGAGGGGTCAGGGTGACTTTTAAGCAGGATTAAGGAAATACATTTTATTTAGTGACAGCATCAGTGTTAGTATCAGTGTTCATAATGGTTTGTTTTGGGTCGGATATAAAAAAGCAAAATGCGTACTATTGTTTCAGGGCCCTACTACAGGTAGAATAAAGCAAATAACACACACATATGTGATATCAGCATGAACGTCAGGCGCAGGAGAGTTTATTTTGGGTTTTTTGGTGGTGGGTCATGGTAATGACAATGAATTATACAGCTAAAATGTTTGCTTTTTTCTTTTGGGTTGGTTTTTCTTGGATAATAAAACAACAAAATCGGGGTATATCCATTAACATTTACCACTAAATGAAGGCCGAGTTTGTCCTGATTGGACTAAATATTAGGGGGAAAAAATAGTTTTTGAATGTTTTCCCTTAAATGTACACAAACTCTTGAGGTGTTTATTGTGTCTGAGAAGAAATGTATTGTTTTCTACACTAACAACAATTGTACCTTCAGTATTATTATTATTACATAGTATTTATATAGCGCCAACAGTTTGCGCAGAGCTTTACAATATAAGGAAGACATTACAATCACAATACAAATCAAGACAAGATGGTAAAGAGGGCCCTGCCCCTAAGGGCTTACAATCTAAAAGAGGAGGGGGAAATGATACATGAGGAGGTAGCTGTGTGGGGATGAATTGTTTGAGAATGTGAGGTTCAGTGGTTAGGTTGAGGTGGGATAGGCTTCCCTGAAGTGATGAGTCTTTAGGGAACGCCTAAAGGCAGTCAAGGTGGGAGATAGACGGACAGGTTGGGGTAAAGAGTTCCAGAGGATGGGAGAGACTCTAGAGAAGTCCTGGAGGCGAGTATGGGAGGAGTTGACATATGCGGCTGTGTTAGGGTTGCCACCTTTTCTTTCAATGAAACCCGAACACTCTAGCGACGCATAGAGATTTTTTGGGGAGAATGAGTTGCGGCTTATTCATATGTAAATAGCGCCACCCATTTATATCTAAATATCACAGTCAAGATTATTTTCAGTGGGGGGGCCAGTAGCCCCTATCTTAATTTTGGTTGCCCTTGTTTCCATGACATCTTGTGTCCGGGTCTCTGCTGCCATGAAACCCGGACACAGCTTTCAAAACCCGGACTGTCCGGGTGAATCCCGTACAGGTGGCAACCCTAGGCTGTGTCCATGTGTTCTAAGGATTACGAGGAATGCATTTTGTAGACACTGCTGTGTTTGGAGTTCACATATGGCAAAATGTGCATATGTTCCTTTGGGCACAAACAAGTACATGAAAACAGTGCATGCGATACCCTGTCACTGAACCTTTCATTTCCAGAACAATCTTCCCAATAAGACTAAATGTACATATTGTGTATACATCCAAACTCCTTGAGATTGCTGCTGTCTTGGATGTGATGTCAGCAGCTCCATCAGATTCAGAGCTGTCACTCAAGTGACATTTTATAGTATTCATTTTCGCTCCTCCCCTGGCATATACATAAAAGCTTATGTAGAGAGGTGAGGTGTTTATAATAACATACCTCAGGCCTGGGCCAATTTCTCAGAAATATAGCAGCTGCAGACAAAACAGAGAGGTTTTACAATTCTGATAAATGTTCAGGTATATAGCAAATTATATTGTGTTTTAATAGCCCAAACAATTTTACATTGATCATCTTTTCTCAGCAGGAGATGGCATCTGTCTGCCTCTCTTCTCCATCCAATGAGTGAAAGACAGAAAATTGGACCCTCAAACATTTAACTAAAGTACAACTAAAGGCTCCTGTATAACATTCTAAACAAGTACCAAATCTAGTTACTATGTGGTGCACAAGCCATATAAAGTAACCCAAAACTTCCTTTATCTTCCTTGATGTTGCTTGATCCTCCTTCACGTGTATCTCTAACACTCCCCCTCCCAGACACTGCAGCTCACAGTGGGAGGGGTTCAGCAGCAGAGGCAGTGCTGTCAATCCAGAAAGCAGTGGGCAGGATTAGGTGTTCTGATTGAATCAGCAGTGATAATGCTGATAATCACACCCGCAGAAACATTTTTTCATCCCATTGTAGTTCAAGTAGACCCAGCCTACATGAGAGTGGCAACTCTGCTCTGAATTTAAGACCAGTTAAACATCATTGCCACACCATCACAGGAAGCTCCATTAGGTGGACATCTCTGGTAGTTCAACATGTATTTGTGGAACTTTGCAGAGGAAATACGAGAAAACTGTGTGTGGCTGCATTTATAATTGTACACAATAATTCTACTTTCATATTCTTCTAGTCAAATTGTAAATTGGGAGAAGAATCCATGTCAGCATTTAAAATCTGTAAATAGGCCCTACATAGTCGTTCACGGTCACGTGAGACAGTTATGTGCATAAAAGAAAATATTCAGCTTAACAGCAAAATTATGCCAGAGATGATCGGGAAATGTTGGCTGGTATGCAATGCACTCTAAACGACCCCACAATTGCAAACCCATAGAAAAATGGATGCACAGCGCTAAATACCAACAGTTTCCTTATCCATACAATTGTGCAAACAAATATGTATATAAAAGTTGTTTATACACCCGTAAAAAGTTCTAATAGGTCAGTGCATAAAGTGCATATAAAACAAAGTGCAAATGGTTCTGATTAGGGATGCACTGATTCATGCTCCCTGGTGATGAGGGAGCATAGAGCCGGCTTCCGGGCCAACCAGGAAGCCAGGGCCGTGTAAAGACGCGATGCCCAGCTTCCTGATTGGCCAGTTTCTCGTCCAATCAGGAAGCCGGGCAACGCATCATTACATCCGGTTTCCTGATTGGCCAGAAAGCCGGCTCCATGCTTTCTTGTTACCCGGTAACCCTGCTAATCAGGAAACCGGGTGGCAAGTCTTCACACGCCGCCTGGCTTCCCATTTATTCAGGAAGCCAGGTGGCGAGTCATTACACGTCAACCTGGCTTCCCTCTCTCACTTCTTTTTGGGGTACATTTATAAAAGTTCCTCCTGGCGTATACCGTTTAAATGTCACTAGCACTCCTAGATAGGCTGGCGAGTATAGGAAACTTCTATACTCGTCAGTACCATCTAGGGACACTAGTGCCGTGTGAACAGGAACTTTTATAAATTAACCCCCATTTGTCTCTGGAACAAGATAAGTAATTACGAGACAATTACTAGACAGTTAAGTAATTTTATCAAACATGGCACAGACAGCAAAAGAGAAACTGACAGGGGTCCCATCTCAAAAAATGAGACACACGGCTAATGTATTGATTTGTAGTGACCATGTACATTATTTCTTCAGACAAACAGATTAAGCCCTGAGGATTTAATTCTCTTATAGGCATGTCGGGACTTTTTGGAGTTAGCGGAAACCCACAGTCGCAAATGGCACCGTGCTTTACAGTATGAACGTGAGCAAAGAGCACGCCTGGAAGAGACTATTGAGCAGCTAGCAAAGCAACACAACAGCTTGGAACAAGCCTGCCGAGGAGCACCAAGCCTGTCCTCCAATACTACAGGAACCCCCAGCTCTGTAAAAGGTAAATCGTTCACTTTGCTTAACAGAGAAAAATATTACCAGGTTTATTCAGTAAAGCCAAAGACAATGTGCACCTACTAACTAGCAATCACTATGTTATCTACTCCACAAATATCCAATATGTGCACTGGACAATACATTGTAGATTCTACACTACTTCTTTGTTCTATATTTTATAGATTTCACAGTACTCAACTAATATGTACAGTGTGCCGTACAGAATATAATCCACACTACTAAACTGTTAACACTGTGCTGTACATTTTAGATGCCAGATGGCCACACTGTATACAGTCTGTTGTACATTGTATGACTCTTCACTGAATTTTTGCCAACATTGGAGTTGGCCGACACAATACATCATTCATACATCATCGAAGTCCATCCTAGAAACACTTTTGCCAGCTTATCAAAATGTCTGAAACTGTCTTTGTTACATAACTGCCAATTAGGATCTTTATTTACATTTTCCTAAACTGCACTGTGAGAATAAAAGGGAAAAAAAATGATTGCTGTGGTCTGTGACGGACCGGCCTCAGTCACTATGAAGCTTCCTCTCCATTGGAACCCAAATTCCAGCGTCCTTAGCTCTAAACCTGCCTAATTATTGGATGGAACCAGTATATTAGGACTAAAAACAAAACTCCCAAAATAATATAAATGTACCCAAAACATCAGACAACACCAATGTTGAAGTAAAAACACAAACTCTGTTTATTAGAACCAAGAACACACACTTTATACCTTTCTCTGGACATTGCCACCTCCTTCCCAACAGCATCATTCTGCCAAGCATGTACGCACATAAATAAAACAAGTTAAAACTGGTATAAGGTAAACTGAACACATAATCTAATCAAGTAACAGGCACTCAGACAGTTCTTATCAGCAAAGTCTGTTAATTGAATCCCACCCCTCCTCCGGGGTATACAGTACGTACCTGAAATAATGTCCAGAATTATTCAGCTGTAAGAAAAAGCGTCTAAAAAATAGTTCTACACGCCCGGCTACATGAGCTTTTCCTACATGCCTTGGCGGGGGGAAATGTTATAATCCCGGATAAAATGTACACATTTCTCAGGGAGCCGGGAAGGTTATAAAAGTGTTCCAAAATGAGTTCCAGGAGCTCGGGTTTTACGAAAGCCGTTTGATCGCGCTATCCTAGCAATGGCTTTACCCAGCCCCGGTACAGCCAAACCCCTTACCCGGTCAGCCCCAGCCATACATAAATCCAAGATTCCTTGGGTGATCCAGACGGCAGACCCATATTGGCCCATAGTCTGTAGGAAGGAGGCTAGCCCCCAGGCTCCTCCAACAGCCCCAGTAACGGTTCAGTCCGTCACAGTCTACACAGACGTTCTTTCTATAGCAGCAGTCTCAAAGTGCGGGCCACTTGCGGCCCGCGAGCCGGTACTATGTGGCCCGCAGCCAGGAGACAAGTCAGGTACGCGGTCACGGACCGCATACCTGACTTGCGGGAGCAGCTACACGGTCTGCATCTTGATCGGATGCAGACAGCAGAGCTTCTCCTCCCGGCACAGAGATCATTTCAGCCGGAGCTCAGTTCTGAGCTCCAGCCGAAAGAACGGATGTGTTAGTGAGGTCTGCAGCAGACCTCACTAATCGCCACTAGAGCACCAGGAATCGATCGTGGCTCATCACAGCCTCCTCCCTGCAAAAAAGGTAAGCAGGAGAGGGGGCTGTGTATTTTATTTCAATTTATATATTAAGTGGCAGTATTTTTTTATACGTGCAGGGGTAGTATTTTTTTTATATGTGCAGGGGTACCTTTTTTTTAAATATATGTAAGCAACCTTTTACCTATTTAATTAGCTAAATCCAGGTGGTGACTTTGTTTTGGCCAGACAGTGTATATGAACTGTACCTGTTTAAAAAAGCGTTAAAACCCACTTGGCCGCAGAGATTTGTGTTTGAAATCTTGCCACTTGAACTTCCTTTGATGAAGGCAATGAATACATAATGGACCATTGAATAGCAATTCATACACAAGTATGTATATGATTAGTGGCAAGGAGAGATGATGTCACAATGCATGTTACAATAACTAGAGGTGCACCGAAATAGAAATTTAAAAACCGAAATTAAAAAAATTGTCAGGCCGAAACCGATACCGGAAATGTTTTTATTTAAATTTTTTCAAATATTATATTATTTATTTTTTATAAACTTTAAAAAATGTAATTATTTATTCATTTTTTATTAAATATTTTCATTTTTTACTTTGCTTTTAGGGGCTTCGGGGGAATATTAGGGGTCTAAACAGACCTCTGATATTTCCCTTTTAAAATAGAAAAAGAGATTTAGAACACAGAGTTCTCAATCTCTTTTTCTGTATCCCCTGTTATCAATGAACAGGAATCCTCTATGAGTGTTCCTGTTCATTCATAAAATGAGAGCATTGTGTGTTTACTATAACCACAATTATGAATGAACAGGAGTGGATATAGATCACTTTAAACTGTTTCAACATTTTATGTTAAAAAGATTTTACGTTTTGTTTTTGTTATATACAAGTAAAGGCCGCAATCTTAGTTAACGTCCAGGCTTGAGTTAATCTTGAATAATGTTTCATGCCATTGGGTGTCTGGTGGTAATTCTTTGCAATAGAAAGGAAATTGAATACTTTCTTACATCTATATGCCAAATCAAATGAGGGGACTTTATCAAAACTGTAGCAGACACAATCTGGAGCAGTTGCCCATGGCAACCAATCAGCTTCCCTCTTTCATTTTCAAAGCTTAACTGAACAAACTGAAGAGAGAAGCTGTTTGGTTACTATAGGTAACAGCTCCAGATTCTGTCGGCTCCAGTTATGATAAATTCCCACCAATATGTTTTTACTATATACAAAAAAATACTTTTAGCAAGGCTTCACCTTATATTAACCACTTGCTGACCGGGGTGTTTACACCTCCTTCCTGGCCAGGCCATTTTTCAGTGTTCAGCGCTGCGGTACTTTGACTGACATTTATTCCGTCATGCAACGCTGTACTGAAATGAATTTTATACCATTTTTGGGGGACAGATAGAGCTTTCTTTTGGTGGTATATAATCACCACTGCGGTTTTATTTTTTACTATACAATGAAAAAAGTACCGAAAATTTAAAAAAAACCTGTTTTCCCTACGTTATGTTATAAAACATTTAATATCACCCAAATTTTTGGTAAAATATAAAAGACGGGGTCACGTCGGGTAAATAGACACCAAACATGTCAAGCTTTAAAATTGCGTACTCGCAAAAAATTACCATGCCCAAAATTAGCCATAGGCGACGCTATAAAAGCTTTTACCACTCATCAGTTTAGTGTTGTCAGTGATTGATGGTCCTAAAATTTTTGCTCTCACTCCGATGTTCGCGGCGATATGTAACATGTGCGGCACAATGGATGCAATCGTCGTTTTTGCACATAGGCGCACTCGACGCATGTTTGTATGTGGGGGGCGGGGGACTTACATTTTTTTTTTTTTATTGCTTTTATATGTGACTTTTCATTTTTTTTGTAACTTTTCATTTTTTTTAAACCTTTTTTTCACTTAACTTTATTGCTATCACATAGGGGGCTAACAAGAACCTATGTGATAGCCAATTTGCAGTGACAAGTCCTCTTTATGGAGACATCAGGGGTCTCCAAGACCCCTAATGTCACCTAGGAACCCCCAGAGAAGCTGATAAAGCAGAGATCTGCTTCACCAGCTTCTCTCCGGCTTCTGTACCGGAGAGTGACAGAGGAATGCGGAAGTGAGCAGGGGTAGTATTTTTTTATATGTGCAGTGGCAGTATTTTTTTATACGTGCAGGGGTAGTATTTTTTTTATATGTGCAGGGGTACCTTTTTTTTAAATATATGTAAGCAACCTTTTACCTATTTAATTAGCTAAATCCAGGTGGTGACTTTGTTTTGGCCAGACAGTGTATATGAACTGTACCTGTTTAAAAAAGCGTTAAAACCCACTTGGCCGCAGAGATTTGTGTTTGAAATCTTGCCACTTGAACTTCCTTTGATGAAGGCAATGAATACATAATGGACCATTGAATAGCAATTCATACACAAGTATGTATATGATTAGTGGCAAGGAGAGATGATGTCACAATGCATGTTACAATAACTAGAGGTGCACCGAAATAGAAATTTAAAAACCGAAATTAAAAAAATTGTCAGGCCGAAACCGATACCGGAAATGTTTTTATTTAAATTTTTTCAAATATTATATTATTTATTTTTTATAAACTTTAAAAAATGTAATTATTTATTCATTTTTTATTAAATATTTTCATTTTTTACTTTGCTTTTAGGGGCTTCGGGGAAATATTAGGGGTCTAAACAGACCTCTGATATTTCCCTTTTAAAATAGAAAAAGAGATTTAGAACACAGAGTTCTCAATCTCTTTTTCTGTATCCCCTGTTATCAATGAACAGGAATCCTCTATGAGTGTTCCTGTTCATTCATAAAATGAGAGCATTGTGTGTTTACTATAACCACAATTATGAATGAACAGGAGTGGATATAGATCACTTTAAACTGTTTCAACATTTTATGTTAAAAAGATTTTACGTTTTGTTTTTGTTATATACAAGTAAAGGCCGCAATCTTAGTTAACGTCCAGGCTTGAGTTAATCTTGAATAATGTTTCATGCCATTGGGTGTCTGGTGGTAATTCTTTGCAATAGAAAGGAAATTGAATACTTTCTTACATCTATATGCCAAATCAAATGAGGGGACTTTATCAAAACTGTAGCAGACACAATCTGGAGCAGTTGCCCATGGCAACCAATCAGCTTCCCTCTTTCATTTTCAAAGCTTAACTGAACAAACTGAAGAGAGAAGCTGTTTGGTTACTATAGGTAACAGCTCCAGATTCTGTCGGCTCCAGTTATGATAAATTCCCACCAATATGTTTTTACTATATACAAAAAAATACTTTTAGCAAGGCTTCACCTTATATTAACCACTTGCTGACCGGGGTGTTTACACCTCCT